AGCTCCTGGCATCTCCCCTGGGGACAGAACCTGGTTCGGGGGAGCGCTTGCCCCAGGTCTTCGGAGTCGTGCCGACCCTCTCCACCCGGGCTCCTTCACCCCGTGTTTCGCCCTGGGGCTGCTGCGGGGCTGGGGCCACTGGCCCTGCCTGTCCCGCTTCCCCCATGCCCGGGGGGGAGGAGCAGTGCCCCAGGGCCGAGGGGCCATTTGTGGTTCTCTCCTGTATAAAGTTTTGTGATCTTTGTTCCTGGCTTTGCGGCCGTGATTGCAGCTGAGGAGGGCTCGTGCCACAGAGGGGTCCAGCGAGGGTGGGCTCCGTCCCACCCCGGGGTCCTGCCTGCAGCGGGGTGAAGGCTCCCCTGTGGGGCAGCCCTACCGCCACCCCCCTGCCCACAAGCCTTCCCTCTCCCGGGGGGGAGTTTCTGAAGATGAGGCATCCCTGATCTTGCTCACCTCCCGCCTCCGGTTCTGGGTAGTGTGCTGCTGCCCCCCGTCACACCGACGCGCCGAGGGGCAGCCCTGGCCCTTGCGACGGGGCGTGAGGTGCTCCCCTCCCTCCCCGTCCTCGGGGTCCCCCTGCCTGCCTTGGGGTCCCTTCCAGCTTCCCAGCAGGTCCCACTCCTCTCGCAGCTTCCTGGCACCACAGCCAAGGGCTGAGTTTCTGCCTGGGGGGTGCCAGGGGTCCCAGTGTGGGTACTGTGCTCCAGCCCCTGCCCCAGGATGGACAGACCCCTTGGCATGGACGCAGGGCTGATCCATGCTGGCAGCTGACCCCCCTGTCTCCCTCCTTCCCTCCCACCTTCCCTTCCCACTTCCCTCCCTGCAGCCCACGCGTGGGGGCTCCACTGTTCCCGGGAAGGGACCCGGAGGCCGGAGGCTCCGCTGCCCCATCCCCACCGCAGCGCCTCGAAGGTCAGGGTGAGGGCTGGGCCTCCCCACAGCTTCCTCAGAGCCCAAACTTCCCCATCGCTTTCTAGGAACCCCAGAAAGTACATGAGCGGGAGCAGTGGGATGCAGCTCATGCCTCCCCGGGGTGGGGGGGGCTGCCCTGTAACTTCTCCCTGGGATGGGCCTGCAGGTAGTGGGGTCCAGTGGCAGTGCCCGGTGTGGGTGCAGGGGCTGTACCTCGCCAGGCTGAGCAGAGGTGGGGATGTGGCAGAGCTGGGCTGGTGCTCCTGGGGATGGCAAAGGGGAGGCTGGTGGCTGTGGCTGCCTCTGCCCCTGCGTCCCTGACCCAGCACAGCATCCCACGATGCTGTGGACCTGGGACAAGTGGCCAGGGCAGCTGCGTGGCCCTGGGAGGGGAGGGAAGGGGGAAGACAGCCAGCGCTGCCCATGCCCGGCTGGGTGCAGCACGCTGAGCCTCTGCAAGAACATCTCCTTGGGGACACACCGCAGCCAAGCTGGGCAGGGCCAAGCAATGCACCTGCCCTTCTCTGGACCCCAAGGATGGGCTCTGCTGGACCTCAGTGGTCCCTTTCCCACATTCCGAACCCTGTTTTCCCCCCTGTGGCAGGGGGCTGTGGGTGCTCTGTGTGGCACATGGTTATGTTATGTGCAAACCATCAACTGGTCCCGGGGCTCAGGACCGTTCCGTGGGAGCTGGGAGCATCCAGAGCTCTGGCACTGTCCCAGGTCCCCAAGGGTTCCCCGAGGAGGGGGAACCATCCTCACTGCCCCGGCAATGCCCACAGTGGGGGAAGACCCGCGGGTCCCCGCAGCCCCCCAGCCTTGGAAGTACCCGCAGTGAGTCCCAGCAAGGCTGGGGCCGGGTGGGTTGGGGGCTGAGCCAACAGGTCCCGGCTCGCAGCTCCACCCAGTGCAGCTCTCTCCTCTTCTGAGAACTGTGATGCTTCTGTGGTTTGGCTTCACCTTGGGGCAGCCCCGCGGGGTCCCAGCTCAGTATATACCCAACTGCCTGCCAGCCCCCAGCCCATGCTGAGCCCACCGGAGCAGCACAAGACACGGCAGGGAGGTAAGGACAGCAGGGGAGGGCTGCCGGGGCGGGAGGCACTTGCATTGGAGCCCTGGGAGGGTTTGGGCACCACCGAGCCACATGAAGGTGCTGCTC